CCACACAGACACAAAAAATGATCATTGTGAGGTCATGGATGGGTTAATTAACTTTATTGTGATAATTATTTCACAGTGTATATGTATTTCAGATGATCACGTTGTATACCTTAATTATACACAATTTTCATTTGTTAATTATATCTCAATAATGCTGGAAAAGAAAAAGAAAGTGGGAGGTGTGCTGGGCTTGCCTCCTCTAAGTCGTGCTCAAGCCAGGCTTCATATTAGATTGCTGAGGCATTTTGCAATACACCTCTTGTGTCCCCTGACCAGAGATTCTCCGGCCAATAGTTGAGGTGAGGCCCAGGCTCAGTAATAGTTGAAGTGCCCCAGGTGATTCTAATCTGTGTCCAGCACTGAGACCAGGTCTCAGAGTCCTCCCATTCCAGAAGGCTGAGATCTGGGCTGAGGGTAATGGGGCTCTGCTCTGCATGGGGTTTGATCAGGGCCAGGTGTGTGACCAGAAGGGGAGTGACAGGTTCAGCCTAGGGTCCCCACTGCTGCACCTTATGTGTGAGCTTCACCAAGAGGGGGGCAAGTTCTGAAGAAAGTGGTGGAAAAAGTCACTTGTAGGTCTCTGTGTAGGAGTAACTTTCCAGATTGCTTCTAAAGGTTCATGTTGCCTGAGGACGAATGTCAAAAAAAGAAAGAAAAGGAGTCGACAATGGCTCTTTCTCAGATAAAGTAATATTCTTAGTTGATTGTTCTGACTCTTTTTCCTGAAATGCCCTTCTTTAGACTTGGTAATCTCTGCCTCTGAAGTACTATGCCTGACACCTGTTCATTCATTCAGACACCTGGGGCCTTCCCTCAGTCCTTCTCATCTCCACCTAGATTCCATCTCACCATGACCCAGTGATGTGGGACTTGTGAGGCGGCTCCATAGGGCATGGTACTGGGCAGGGCTTCACCCCCATGGATTGGAGGTGTGGTAACAATTGTGGCTGGGCACCAGGGATTGCTTAGCGGCCCCACCTGGAGGCACTGTGAGCTCTCCATAGACCAGGGTGAAAGAAGCTGCACATGGAAGTCACATATTAATATGCACAAATACCTGATAAATTCTAGAAAAGATACCTATAAGGGGAAGTCAGTTCTGACTGTTTTTATAATAAATTTGAAGCTAAATGAGTGAGTCATTGACTTCAAAATCTTAATGATTGGGAATGGAATGGAAAGTTGAGAAACAGACGTAAGTGACAGAGGGTGTTTTCTTCTAGCATCAGTTTTAAAACGTGAAATCAACCTGAATGTCTCTCTCGCACCACTCTACTTTGTCTAGGAATGTAGGGTCTTCCTGATTTCATATTCGCATTTGCGTGATTTTGCCTCTGAAACTGGCTTTTGAAATACACATTCCTAGGGTCTGAAATTTCATCCCTTTTTTTTTTTTTTTACTGTAATAATCCAGCTTTAGGTGATGGACAACTTGTGGTGGACTCTCCCATCGAGTGGGTTTCTTGGTAAGAAAATTCTTGATAGAGAATTCTGTCACTAATGTGTTGCAATATTATCCTACTACATACAGAAGCACTGCTTGAAGATATGCAGTAGAGCGGTATGTCCCAGCATAGTAAGACAGAATTATCATGAGACCCTAAGTGATATGTTTCCGGTTGTCTTTCCAGTTTTGAGGAGTGTCACAAAAGCATCTCTTAAAGGCACTGTGACAGTGTAGATCACATATACTAATGATCATCCTCTTTCAGCCACAATAAATAGCATACAAATTTATCCTGGGAAAACATTGTCCGAGTTCACATCCTCATATCTCTGAGGCTGTCAACTAAACTATTATTCATGCCACATTTTCCATCCCCTGTGAGCACCGTTGTTCATTCTATCTCAACAAGTACAACTTGGAAGCATTGTAGTGAGGGAGCTTATGAAGTTGAACGATGCCTTCAATGAAGTCTATCGTAATTTGTTTTGTTTAAGCCACTGCTACTTTCATCTTGTATATTTCTATGCATTATAAATGAATTGATTTTCATTTAGTCATCAATTCCATTATTTTTGATGATGCTGTTAGTGTTGTTTTACATTTCAAAAGTGTGGGAGGGTTGAATTGGGGAATGGATATTGTTTCATACATTTTACACCATTTCCTTCTCTAGTGTTCAGGATATGGCTCAACAGCGGTTTCCCTAAATGTTACATGAAATCCAGAATATTTTGAAGATAGTTTTAATCATTCCATCTACATCTTTTCACCTTAGTACCAAATATTAAGTTAAATTTTTGTTGATTAAATTTATTACAGTATTTAAATTAGATAATTTCATATCTGGAGAATATATGTTACTGTCTTAATCCCAGAAATACCATTAAATTGACTCGCCATAATTTGTTATATAAGATTCATTACTTTTTGTATGGTATGTTTTCAGTTTTCTAGACATCATTTGTTGAGTTTTGTGTAAATTTCACTGAGTTATTATTTCTTGGTATAACTGCTATATTCTAATAATTACTTTCCCTGTCTAGATTCATCATGTCCATGTTGGTACATTGAATTAACAAATACTTCATATTTTAAAGGAAACTTAGCCCATTTCTTGCACTTTATGGACTTTTCCACTGTCGTCTCTAACACCTGTATTTTCTGCAGAAATTTCTAAAGTTCTGGAAATTGCGTTCTTGAGTATACACATGACAACTGTCTTGTTGCCTGGTTTCTTCTCTATCTGAACGTCATATGGAGTGCACCTGGTCCCTTTTCTCCCACTTGCTGGTGCTCTGCTGTTCTCTGGCTCTTATTTGCTGTGTATGTTGCTCACCACCTCTGCACCTCCTCCATGGGTCTCACGTCACTGCCAGGAAATATTTCAGCCTGTTACTGCTGCTACTTACAGTGCCCTGTAATACAATCCTTCCCCACTATGGGTCATTTACTTACTTTCTCCAAAAAAGATACTTATGTTCTTCTCGTGATATTTAGTAAGTCTCATTTATTAAACTTGGAAAAGTTCACATTTTTGTTGATTCATAATAACTGTGTAACTATTAATACATACAGTAGGAGCACCCCTGACCTCATGTCTCTTTTCTTTTTGTATCAACTTTCATAATATTTTACATTATTTGAGCTTACTAGAGTTAAAATATAGCACATTTTCTTATTTGCATATAGATGCAATTGATTACCATGAATATTTAAACTCACTTGTTTTCCCCCTATTTTCACATCCCCCCAGCCCTAGGCAAACACCATTCTTTTTTTTCTATGAATTTGACTATTTTAGGTACACCTCAAATAAAGGGAATCATATAGTATTTGTCTTTTTTGACTGGCTTATCCCACCTACTATAACGTCCTCAAGGTCCTTCCATGTTGCAGTAAATGACAGGATTTGTCATCTTAAGGCTGAATAATATTCCATTGTATGTATAGACCACATTTCATTTGTGCATTCGTCAGTCAGTGGACATCTGGGTTGTTTCTACCTCTTGGCCACTGTGAATAGTGCTTCTGTGAACACAGGTATGCAAACATCTCTTCTAGATCCTGCTTTCAAATTTTTGTGTGTGTTTACATATAGAGGCATACTTTGTTGTACTGTGCTTTGCAGATGTTTTTTCTTTTTTTACGAGACCCTCCACCAGCAAAAATACTATGACTTGTTGAAGGCTCAGATGATGTTCTGCAATTTTTGGCAATAAAGCATTTTTTCTTTTCTTTTGCTAAGGATTAGTGGCCCTGAGCTAACATCTGTTGCCAATCTTCCACTTTCTGCTTGAGGAAAATTTGCCCTGAGCTAACAGCTGTGCCAATCTTTATTATGTACGTGGGTCACTGCCACAGCGAGGCTGCCAACGAGTGGTATGGGTCTGCACCCAGGAAGTGAACCCAGGGTGCTGAAGCCGAACGTGCCAAATTTAACTACTAGGGCAGAGTCTGACTCCAAGTAAAGTATTTTTTAACTAAGGTATGCACACTGGTTAGATATAATGCTATTGCACACTTAATAGGATATAATCATAAATTTTATATGCACTGAGAAACCAAAAAATTTGTGTGACTCGCTTTATAGCAATATTCACTTTATTGTCGTCGTCTGGAACTGAAGCCACAGTATCTCTGAAGTATGCCTATATATGAAATTTCTAGTTTATCAAAAAAAATTATGCTATTCATGCATGCATTCATTCTTAAGAAGAAACTCATGAACATTGCTCTTTTCAAATTATTTCCCAAGCACTCCAAGCAGAAAAACTAGATTATGTTCTTTTCATCCTCAGTTCTGAAATTTATGTTCCTAGTATTTTTCAAATGCTAACTATATTTCTATTTTCAAATTATGTAAAGGCACAACCTTTGGATCTTATTTCAGTACACACAAAAAAAACCCATGTAGAAATATAATTATATGGTGTATATTTACGTATAGGGAGGCAGGTTTTAGCAGGGTGAGTCTAAAATTGCACTGCAATGGTATTTTCATTATAGCCACAGAAATAATCTGAAATACACTATGGAGTCAACTCATATGCAAATTATGAATATATATTTCAAAACCATAAGTTGTATGAATCTAACATGGGAAGAAATTGTTACAGATGCCATTCAACTAGAGAGCCTAATGATGTAGCATTAGTGTTCATTATGAAGCACTCCAATTAAGTGGGAGATGCATGGGTTAGTAGAAGGCACATGATTCATTCAGGGTTACAAAAAAAATTACACTTTATTTAGATGTGAAAGTATAATACATAATAAAAGGATATGAAAATGCAATTCCAATGGCTAAATTTGAATCTTTTACAAGCACACTCTTTGGCTCTTGTGATTAAACTGTGCTATTATGTTTGTCTCTTCAGTTACCAAAAATAAGACTAATTTTCATTAACCTATGATATACAACACCCATTAGCTTTCAAAAAAGGAGACCACCATTCCCCCTCCATTTGTTCTACCACATATGCCATCCCTAGTAACTCATCATTCTATTCAAGTGAAAATGTCATTTTCTCAATGTCCTGGCCCACTGTTTCATGGTCATCTGGTGGAGCAATCCTTTCCTATAATCATCAACAAAGGCCTACAGTCATAGCAACAAAGCTACAGAAGGGGCTGAGGCCACAGAAAGCATGATAATTTAGATAACAATTTTACATCTATCGTCTGCCACTCCCCATGCTCTCCAATTTATACCATATTACATCTTAAAATTAGTGTCATAGTTCTTCCAGGTTCCATGGATATGAATAAACCCAACCTAATGAAGTATGTCCATCTTACTACCAATTCTTTCTCTGAGATCATCATGGTGACAAATGAAAAGCATATAATTAAAGTATAACATCAACAGATCTCAAATGAGGTTGTAACTCATCAATAATAATGTAGTCTTTTTAGGAAACCTCAAATAATTCAATTAAAACATTTTTTAAACTGAAGGTAGACCTTTTCACAGATATCCTTGTTCCACAGACACACATCATCTCATGAATCATAAATAAATTTAACTTTTAATTCTCTGTGGAATTTAACATCTGAGATTGGTTAATCTTCAAAAGTAATAGACTTAGTTCTCTCTAATATGAATATTCTTATGTGCAGTCCACTGAGAGAACTGGTTAAACAATTTATCAGCTTCCTTATATGTGTAATAGTTCTGTCAAGTATGAACGCTTTGGTGTATCACGTGGTCATTGCTTAAACACCTCTACACATTTGTATGGTTTCCATCTTATACAAATTCTTGCATGACCACAAAGTTGTACTTTTTTGACAAAGCTGATCACACTCATTACATTTACAAGAGTTCTCTTGTAAGAATTCTCTTATGGTCCACAAGGCTTAAACTGTGGATACACCTTACCACACGTTACATCTGTGTGATTTCAAAGATGTATATTCTGATACCTAGTGAGGTGTGAGCCCTGGTTACCAGCTTTGGCATATGTATTAATAGTATATGGTTTCTCTCCACAATGGAGTCTCTGATGTAGAGTAAGGCTTGAACACTTGCATAAGTCTTATCTCAATCATATTTGTAAGCTTTTATTCTACCATGAATTTTCTGATGATCCTCAAAGCTTGACCTTTGAATAAACCCACTGCCACTTCCACTAAGTTTATAATGTTTCTTATCAGTATGTATTTTCTGATGCCTAGTAAAGCTTGAAATTTGGGCAAAAGCTCTGCCACTCACTGCATTTGTAAGGTTTCTCTCCAGTATGGATTTTCTCATGTCTTCTAAGGCCTGCAAATCGGGTAAAAGATTTGTTACACTGATTACATTCATAAGGTTTCTCTCCAGTATGGATTCTCTTATGCTGACTAAAACTTGAATGCTCAGCAAAGGCTTTGCCACATTCATTACACTTGTAGGGTTTCTCACCGGTATGAATTCTTTGGTGAATTGCAAGCCATGACTTTCGACTAAAAACCTTGGCACATTCATTACATTTGTAAGGTTTCTCTCCAGTATGAATTTTCTTATGTTGAGTAAGATATAAATGCTCTCTAAAGGCTTTGCCACACACATTACATTTGTAAGGTTTCTCTCCAGTATGGACTTTCTGATGTCGAGTAAGATATGAATGCTCTCTAAAGGCTTTGCCACACTCACTGCATTTGTATGGTTTCCCTCCAGTATGGATTCTTTCATGCCGAGCAAGGCTTGAATGCCCAGCAAAGGCTTTGCCACATTCATTACATTTGTAAGGTTTCTCACCAGTATGAATTCTCTGGTGAACTGCAAGGCATGACTTTCGACTAAAGACCTTGGCACATTCATTACATTTGTAAGGTTTCTCTCCAGTATGGATTTTCTTATGTCGAGTAAGATATAAACGCTCTGTAAAGGCTTTTCCACACACATTACATTTGTAAGGTTTCTCTCCAGTATGGATTTTCTCATGTCGAGTAAGAGATAAACACTCTCTAAAGGCTTTGCCACACACATTACATTTGTAAGGTTTCTCTCCAGTATGGACTTTCTGATGTTGAGTAAGATATGAACTCTCTGTAAAGGCTTTGCCACACTCATTACATTTGTATGGTTTGCCTCCAGTATGTATTCCTTTATGCCAAGTAAGACTTGAATGCCAAGCAAAGGCTTTGCCACATTCATTACATTTGTAAGGTTTCTCACCAGTATGAATTCTCTGGTGAATTATAAGGCATGACTTTTGACTAAAGACCTTGCCACATTCATTACACTGGTAAGGTTTCTCTCCAGTATGGATTTTCTGATGTCGAGTAAGATGTGAACCCTCCATAAAAGCTTTGCCACACTCATTGCATTTGTAAGGTTTCTCTCCAGTATGGATTTTCTGATGTCTTCTAAGGCTTCCAAATCTGCTTAAGGATTTGTCACACTGAATACATTCATAAGGTTTACCTCCAGTATGGATTTTCTTATGCTGAGTAAGGCCTGAATGCTCAGCAAAGGCTATGCCACATTCATTACATTTGTAAGATTTCTCTCCAGTATCCATTCTCTGATGTCTTGCAAGGTTTGATTTTTGATGAAAGGCTTTGCAACCTACATCAAATTTATATGGTTTCTCTCCTGTATGGACTTGCTGATGTGTAGCAAGTTTCAAGCACTGATTAAAAGCTTTGGCACACTCATTACCTTTGTAAGGTCTCGGTCCAGAAGGAATTCTCTCATGACTCATGAGGTTTAATCGTTTGCTAAAAGGCTTCCCACCCTCATTATATTCGTAAGATTTTTCTCTAATGTGTGTTCTCCCATACTGTGCAGGTAAAAAAGGATATTTAAAAACCTTGCTATATTTATTACAAATGTTTTTGACACTAGGAGGAATTCTTTGAAGTGGTGAAAGTGAGGAACCATTGTTGACAGACTTCTCAACTTCTCTGCATTCATCAATTTTCTCCTCAGTTTGAAATCTCTGCAGTTCAGCCTGGTGTGCCTGCCAACTTAATTCAGTTCTAGTTTCCAAACACTTTATATACTTGTTTCCAGCATTGCTTATGTGATTTTTCAGTTTCAACAAATTCCTTATAAATAGTTCATCATGCATGAAATATTGGTATGTATTATCTTTTACAGAAACATTCTGCTTTTGTAGAAAATTAATTGAAGATTTATCACGTGGCCAATCTATTCTATAAGTTGGATTTTTGTCATGAGTCAAAGGCATTCCTTTGTAATTTCTTGCATCATATCCCCATTCATTCTGATGCTCATGTATGTTTTCCCAGACTTCCTTGAGGTCAAAATTGTTGATGCTATGCCTTCCATTGCTTTCCAATAACATTAAATGGTAGAATTCTCCTTTATCAATGTCCTCTCTTGGTGATAATCCCTTTATTGCAAATCTAGCAGAAAGGTTTCCTATTAAGAGTTGGAAGAGAAATGTTTATTGAATTAGATCACTGTACAAAAATTAATACTTAAACATAGTTATGAAATGTCTGAAGCATTCTCTTTAAACACCACTGTGATATACAGATTATTTAAATTTTCTTTTCATAATTTTTTCCATATTTTCTCTGATCTTTGATAACAGGCTTTCAAAACACACATTATACACCATACATATTGTCTGGCTATATAACCAGATAAATAAATGATACTCCACAGTTAGAGAGTCTTTCCTAACTCTTAATCTTTATAATAAGGTGTGTTCATAGGAAGCAAGGAAAAAATAATAAAAAATGTATATCACAATAATAATAAATAAAACATTTTCATAACCCATGATAAATACAGCAGGTAAGATAATGAGTAACCACATTCATACAAATTAACAGTCTCTGGAATGCTAAAGAATTCTTTCTAAAGAAAGAATTTACATCCCAGAAGGAGCAATCAGTAGGAAAAAGGAAAAATATGTTGAGAATCAATGAATTTTGAAATATCAGTTTTAGGTAAACACACATTATTATAAAGATTAAGAATTAGGGAAGACTGTCTGAAATCTCAATTATGATTTCATGCCTGCAGTTATATAATAGTACATAGATCAACTCTCTAACTCTGGAGTATCATTTAATTATCCAGTTATGAGGTCAAAAATAGTAGGTAGGATGTGCTTTGAAAACTTTAAAAGTCAAAGAAAACATTAATATAGAAAAAAATTACAAAAAGACAACATACAAGATATAATGCAATGTATGTAGTGTGGGGAGGGGCAGGTCCTGTGGATACTGGGGTGCTTGGGTACTCAAACTTAACAGACACAAAAGTGCCAGTACAGTTCAATTAGATCAATGAAAGAACTGAGGAAAGGAGAGGACTGGGATTTAGAACAGGAAGAGTGCAGGTGAGAGTAATGGGCAGTGTGGGAGCAGTAATTGTGCTTGCAAATCTATGGGACTATGACTGTGCTATGACAGCTAAAATCTTGAGCTTGGAAAAAGAGACACAGTCATTTAGCAAGAGGTGTAATACTGACTCATTCTGTAGGAACTATACTATGGGAATGAGGCAAACGTGGAAGAAATTAAAAAGGGAGACAGTGTGGTGTTCTGGAAAGAATGTATGTTGACTTTTAGGGCAGTATTTGTTCTAAAAATGACCAAACTGAATATTGCACACATTCCATTTCTAGGGATATACTCAAGAGAGTCATACATATGTTCCAAAAGACATGTACAAGAATGTTCTTGGTAAGACCCAAAAGCAAAAACCTGGAAATGATGACCAAGAGAAGAATGGACAAATTTGCTCTCTATGAACTCATATGGATGCCATAAAACTCTCTCAAGAGTCCAGCAATGAAGGGTGACCACGGGTGCTGGATGATGTCTGACTGCAGGGCACAGAAGCTGTATGACAGAAAAAAAGTTAGCAGGAGGCTTTTGCCAAGGTTTTAACTCTTTGGGGATGTGATTAGATTTGGTAAAATATAACTTGTGAACTATATTACATATTTTTAAAAATAGAAATTTATCAATTTTGCCACATTAAATTTATCAGTCTGTGTGTCCTTGTTTGTTATATGAAAATATGAGAATCCTCATTTTGCTGCAATATTTTAATTATTTGAAATCATGTCTTTGGAACTTTTCATATGACAATCCAAGACACATAGGAGACAGCACATGAGAAGTGCTCTTACTATATGTATTAGTAGATATATAGTTATTATCATTATGAATGAATAGAAATTAATATGCACTGATCAAAAAGTAATAAATTCTGACTTCACACACATCATAAGAAAGCAGTACCCTTAAGGGGCATTACTAAATGAGCACAGAATGGCTGGCATGGAAAAATGGGTGTTGGTAGCAGCATTTAAGTGTAGAAGCAAGTTTTGGCAGTGCCATGGTGATCCACGCAGAGGTCTACATGCAGACTTGTGGTCAGCAACATAAGTATCCAATAATACCCAGAACAGGACAGCAATGGGATGTGTGTCAGCAAGGAACAGATGACTTTTTATGGAATTCAGATGAAAAGGAGGACAGGGAACAAAACAGGCTTCATGGGTTAATTGAAATATGTAATTCCAAGAACTTAAATTGTCTGGGAAATGCAAGTCTCAGAAGCAGTAGTAATGAGGGAACCATGGAGAATAAAAAACTGCCTAACTTTTCTATCAAATAAAATGAGATACTTAAATATTAGGTTAGTGTACCAAGATGTGCACGATGATTCTAGACAAGGAGAATAATTATGAGAATAAGTTATTTGTAGCAAAAAAATATAAAGTCAGTGAAATTAAAATCAAATCCAAAAGTTATTTTTTGAAAACTACATATACGGCATAAAATACAATGTATTTTATATTAAAAAAACTATGGAAAATCAATTTAATTGTATTTCTGTAGCTAAGTAACTTAATTTAAAAAAGTGTTCTTAAGATTTCAAAAATTCTCAGTTTAAAAAATGTCACAGATTTAATTGAGGAAAATGTGTAAAAACAATGAGATACCACTACACACACGTATGAGGCTAGACAAAATCAAGAATAGTGACACCACCAAATACTGGCAAGGATGTGGAGAAAGAAGAACTCTCATTCATCGCTGGTGGGAATACAAAATGGCAGTCACACTGGAAGAGAGTTTGCAGTTTCTTACAAAACTGAACATATTCTTACAACGTGATGTAGCAGTCACCCTCCTTGGTATTTACCCAAATGAGCTGAAAACTTATTCCCATATAAAAATAGCAGTTGCATCCATAATTGCCAACACTTGGAAGCAACCAAGATGTCCTTCAGTAGGTGAATGGAGAAATAAACTGAAGTACAGCCAGATAATGGAACTATTATCCAGCACTAAAAAGAAATGAGCTATGAAGCCATGAAGAGACTTGGAGAAAAGAGAAATGAATACAACTAAGTGAAAGAAGAAAATAGGAAAGGGCTATATACTGTTTGATTCCAAGTATATGAAACCCTGGAAAAGGCATATCAATATAGTAGAGACCCCTGGTTGCAGGAGTTAGGAGGGAGGGAAAGATTAACAGGCAGAGCACAGAGGATTTTTAGGGCAATGAAATTAGTCTGTATGATACTATTATGGTAGATATGTGTCATTATACATTGGTCCAACCCATAGAATGTACAACACCAAGAGTGAACTCTAAGGTAAAGATGGACTTTGGGTGATAATGATGTGTCAGTGTAGGTTCATGAATGATAACAAATATAGCACACTGGTGTGGGATGCTGACACTGGGGAGGGTCTGAATGTGTGGAGGTAGGAAATACATGAGAAATCTCTACTTTTTGCCCAATTTTCCTGTGAAACTGAAACTGCTCAAAAAAACTGTCTACCAAAAAAAAGTATATGTTAATACTGCTAAGCATAAAGTAATAGGAAACAAAAGTAAAAAGAATAACTAAGACTATCTTTTCAAAAAATTCTGGAGGTTATACAGGTTTTGGCGGAAGTAATATTGAGTCATAACCACTCGAGAAAGAAATCTCATAAAAAATATAAGACAATATGCATTCCATGACTCCACAGCCCCAAATTGTAGATATAAAACAAAGAACAGGGAGGGTATCATCAAAAATATGGAACTGATGAAATAAATAGAAAACAAGGTCAGTTATAACAATGAAATTTGCCAGATGAAAGTATCAGTGGCTTAAACAAAACAAATTACAGTAGACTTAAAAAACATGGGCATCGTGGGCTGGCCCCATGGCTTAGCGGTTAAGTGCGCGCGCTCCGCTGCTGGCGGCCCGGGCTCGGATCCCTGGCGCGTGCCGACGCACTGCTTCTCCGGCCACGCTGAGGCCGCGTCCCACATATAGCAACTGGAAGGATGTGCAGCTAAGACATACAACTATCTACTGGGGCTTTGGGGGAAAAAATAAATAAATAAAATTTAAAAAAAAAAAACAAACAAAAAAAACATAGGCATCATTCAACTTTATAAACTTCCTTAATAAAATGTGTCAAAATAGTATTTGTTAAAGGTGAATGAACAAGAGCAGACGTATGGGATAAACAATGTGGCATGAACAGTAGTTTACTCAACAGTCTCACAGAAATTAGGTTGTGAACTTGGACGGTGTTCTCCTTAGGTTAAGTTCCTACACCTTTTATTTATTGCCGGCTCAAAGTAGATGATCACAGTATGTCTGATCAATATTGTCATACTGCCCTTGGGAGACACTGTTCAACTCCTCAAAAAACAGGACAACTAGAAACACTTATCAGTCAGGCTCTCCTAATACTTTCCACCTCAGGATACTGGGACATGCCGGCCACTACCCACTGGCTTCAAGAGGCACTTCTGTAAGTAGCAGGATGATGTCCTAACATTATTAATCAGTGTTCTCCTTCAAGAATTTTCTGTTACCCAGTAAACACCCTCCAGGGGAAAGTCCACTGGAAGCTGTCTATCACCTAAAGATGAGTTATCTCAACAGAAAAAGAGGATGAAACTTCAGACCCTTGTAATGTGTATTTCAAAAGCGAGTTTCAGAGGCAAAATCTTAGAGGAGAATAAGAATCAGGAAGACCAAGGTCCTTCTATGTTCTGTGATAGGGAGACCAGGAAGAGGGAGAAAAATAAAAGATACAGCAGTAAAATAAAGTCAGATTTTGTGGGGTTCTTGAGAAGGGGCTGTGAGCTGTGCCTATAGGCTGTGGGGTGAGTGCTTGAAAGACTCCCACGAAACAATGGGGACCAAAGAGAGGATCTCAGTGTCTACTCTTTATATTACTGCTCACTGACAATCTCAAACAATCTCAAATCCCATTCCTATTTATATACATGTGGCAAAAAGAGACCTGAAGAGATGGCTGAGGGGCCTGAACAGGCAGATAGGGCTTGACACAGCCCAGGGAGTTTCATGGAACCCCAGAGACAATGGAAGAGCAGCTACTCTGTCTATCTCCCGAGAAGTTCTTCCAAGGACATGAAATGTTAATGCAAGCTTAAGAGGTCCTGAGGTCAGGACTATAGAGGCCTCAGCTCTCATCTCTATGAACTGAGAACCAAGAGAGATCAAGGGGAAAGAGGACTCCATAGAGACAGCCATCTTGGTCTCCCTCAAACCATGGGACCAAAGTGGTCAGTGGGCCAGATAATAGGCTGTTGTATGTCATGACAAAGGCTTTGCCTGCCTCTGCATGAGCTGCAGCACCATGGTCGAGTGTGATTTTAACCTTTTACACATTTGAATAACACAGCGCTAAGTTCGTATGTGTGGGGCGGATTTCTCTGGGAGCTTATAAGAAATAAACATTTATTTTCCCACAGATCTTTCCCAATTGAAGAGAGTTTCCCAAAAAATATTTATTGAGCAGCTCACTCTGTGCCCATGTGAGCTCTTACTTGTGTTCACACCTCCATACATTCCCATCTGTCTGCATTTTTTCCTATTTCCACTTCTCTCTTCAGAGTTCAGGGCTGTTTCCGCTGCTCCACAATGAAGCTAATATTGTGCTCGAGAGAGAGTTCAACTTATAAAGAAAAATTGATCATGATATGCTATGCTTTTGCAGAACACATTCCCAACTCTTTGTTCAGTAAGAAGAGAGGACATTATAGACGGGTCTAGAAAAGTATTTCAAAAATCAGTCAACTCACTGCCTCCTTCTGAACACTAAGTGGTTCTTTTAAGTATGCAGGTATCTAGCTCTCTCCCAAGAACTACTGAATCAAAAGCACAAGGGCAAAACCACAGAATCAGATATTTCTAAAAATTTGCTATAATGTTTTCCGACTATTACTGTTCTGAAACCACAACCAATGATGCATAAAAAGGGCACAACTTCTGAAGAAAGGGAAAGTTAGAGTCCATGTGCCATAATATGAAGTCTTTCTGACTCAAAAAGCTTCAATCACTCTCTTAAGAAGAGGGATTTGAAAATCGGATAGGCAAGGTAGGGGCTCCCAAGAGACTCACAAGGGAAAACGCAAAGATATACAAAAGTAGTTACCAACTTCAGAAGGGAAGTTATCCTCACCCACGGAGAGCAGGTTCCTGTAGTTCTCCAACATCACATCCCTGTACAAGGCCCTCTGAGCAGGGTCCAGGCATTCCCACTCCTCCTGAGAGAATTCTATGGCCACATCTCTGAAGGTCAACCGTCCCTGAAAGGAAAGCACATTTCACCATGTCAACAGGGACAGAGTTCTTATTTTGACACAAAATGAGACAAGAAGACATGTGTAAGGATTGACTCTGCTGGAGGGAGTGTTCTTACCGATCCATTTAAGATAAAGTTTGATTAAGTTATATTTCTCTAAATTTTCTTAAGTGACGTGAAATTCATATAACTTAAAGTTAGCCATTTTAAACTACAATTCAGTGGCATTTAGTACATTCACAATGTTGTACAAACTTCACCTCTATCTAGTTCAAAAACATCTTTATCATCCCAAAGGAAATCCATTACCCTTTAAGCAGTTGTTTCCCACTCCCCTCTCCCCCCAGTCCCTGGTAAACACTAATATGCTTTCTGTCTCTATGGATTTACCTACTTTAGATATTTTCATATCACTAGAATGATATGAAGTGTGTGATCTTTTGTGTCTGGCTTCTTTCACTTAGAATAATGTTTTTGGTTTATCTATGGTGTGGTATATGTATCAAGACCACACTCCTTTTTTATGGCTGAATAATTCCATTGTCTAACTATACCACAATCATCCTTTCATGGACATCTGAGTTGTCACTACCTCTTGGCTAATGTTAATACTGCTGCTTTGAACATGTGTTTGAATATTGGTTTTCAATTTTTTTGAGTATATACCCAAGAGTGGAATTACTGGGTTATATGGCTTAATTTTATAAAGACCTCCACACTGTATCCCACACTAGTGACACCATCTTACACCAATGTATCAGGATTCTAATTTCCCCACATCCAAGCAACACTTTTATTTTCTGTTTTGTTATACTCATCCTAGTGGGTGAGAAATTATATCTCATTGTGCTTTTTGATTTTGCATTTTCCTCTTGACTAATTTCATTGAACATCTTTTCATGTGCTTGCTGGCCATTGTATATCTTTTATGGAGAAATGTCTATTAAAGTCATTTGACCATTTTTTAATTAGGTTCTTTGTATTTTGGTTGTTGAGTTGTAGGAGTTCTTTGTATATTCTGGATACTAGATCCAGACCAGATTTGTGATCTGCATTTTCTCCCATTTGGCAGATTGTGTTCTCACTTAGGTAACAGTGTCCTTCAGTGCACAAACATTTTTTATTTTGATGGAGACCATTTCTCTCTTTTGTTTTATCTCTTTGCTTTTGGGGTCATATCTAAAAATCCGCTGCCAAATCCAAGGTCAGGGAAATGTATGCCTACCTATTCATCTAACAGTTTTTTAGTTTTAGGTCTTACATTTAGTCTTTGGTTCATTTTAAATTATTTTTTCACACGGGGAAAGGCAGAGGTTCAATTTCATTCTTTCATGTGGATATGCAGTTGTCCCAGCACCATTTAAGCAACTATTCTTTTCCCATTGAACGGCACCTTTGTAAACAAGGAATTGACTAGATGTATGGGTTTATCTGTGGACTCGCAGTTCTATTGCCTTGCTTTATATTTCTATCCTCATGCTGGAAACACAGTTTTGATTTCTCTAGTTTTGTAGTAAGGTTCGACATTGGACATCGTATGTGCTCTAACTTTGTCATTCTTTTCATGCTTATTTTGATTATTTGGAATCCTTACCAATTCAATATAAATTTTAAAATTAGGTTTCCTATTTGCGCAAAAAAGGCTGTTGGGATTTTGATGGGGATTCCACCGAATCTTGATAGTACTTTGGGGAGTACTGTGACCTAAACAACACTAAGTCAACATTTTAGGGAGGACACTTCACAGAGAAAATTAACAACTCCAAAATGTGGCATTTTAGGAAGGAGAAAACAGAACAATCCATTAAGAACAGGACTTTTACCTTGGAAAGAGCCATTCCTTCTTTCTTTCCTCTTCCTCCAAGATTCTCAGGTACCATTATTCTGTATGACAAAAATACGTTGTTCAGTGCTTAGAATCAACACACTGCCTTCCTCTGCCACAGGTATACACATAGGGAGAACCTCAATACAAGGGACAGATGGTCCTTTGCTGCCCACTATAACAGGAGGGATACAGGGACAGTAAATTCTACACAGAGATCAATAAGTGAGTTTTTCACCCATTTCTTCAGAAAGCCCTCCCCTCCTGCAGAAACCCACACACTCTGCTGCAACTGTACTGTCCTTTGTCAGCTGGCATGGGCATAAGGAAACTGCCTCATCCAAGTCCCTGGCTCCTCCCTAGGCAGCCAGCATCTAAAGAGCGGCTGAGGGCCGGCCCTGTGGCTTGGTGGTTAAGTGCGCGCGCTCCACTGCTGGCGACCCGGGTTCGGATCCCGGGCTCGCACCGACGCGCTGCTTCTCCGGCCATGCTGAGGCCGCGTCCCACATACAGCAACTAGAAGGATGTGCAGCTATGACACACAACTATCTACTGGGGCTTTGGGGGAAAAAAATAAATAAATAAAATCTTTAAAAAAAAAAAATAAAGAGCGGCTGATGCAGGACAGGGAAGCATGTCCCCTCCCTCAATCTGCACCAACTCTGAAGGGCCACCCAGCTCCACAGCTCCCTGCTGTAGATATACTGAGGAGTTTAGATTTTTGTCCTGAGAGTCAAGGGAAACCATAAGAGGGCTTAATGCCAGGAGATGACACAATCAAACTTAAGATTTACCCATGAAACACAGAGAGGGAGAGAGTGAAGCTGAAAGAGAGGCCTCTGAGCCTCTGTCCCTGCCTCTTCCTTACTGGTTTTCATTATTTTTGGAGGACTGGGACACATTGCAAATTCTAATTCTAACTGGGCACCCTCTCCCAGAAAACTGCCAAATGCAGACACACGCCCAGTTTTGAAAATCATTTCAAGGATCCCACTAGCTCAGACTCAGAATTCCTGGTCTACTCGATCATCTCCATGTTACAGGTGGGGGCACTGAGGCTTAGAGCGGAGAAAGTTTACCAAGTTACCCTGAAGAGGTCTGAGTTCAGTGAGCAGAACGGGGTGTAAGTGGTGGCCTGGACAGGGCAGTACAAAAGGTCTGTTCTAATTCCAGATTACATTTCACATTCCTGACCAAGAGAAGATTCTCTTTCATGGGTTTAATCAAACTCAAGCATTTAATTCCTCTTTTCCAGAAAAAATATTTAAAAATGTCGAAAAAATGAAGTTACAAATAGTTACGAGTCTTGGAAACATGAAAGAGGGTCACTTGGAGATGGGTTCTGAGCAATCTGTTCATCATGGACACATGGGCTCTACTGGAACAAAGTTCCACATCCATCCAGCCCATCCTTCAACATCTGCACAGAAAGTACACAGGGGACTTGAGGGGAATATCTACTTAGTTGGAGACTTTAGCTTAGAGGTCACCAATTTAACACATCACTTTAGGGAAGAAAAAAGCTGCTATTAAACTAACTGGTTAAACTAGGTTTCCAGTGTTAAAAGACTACCAAGATCCTTACCAGATTCACAATGAAATACTGCAGTTATTTACAGAGATCAAAGTTCCAATATATAACAGAGTAGAAAGCATATAAACCTCATACTCGGAACAATAAAATTAAGAGGGAAAATAATTTGGAAATTAAAAAAATACTAAACTTAAAACAAGTGTGAGAATCCATCAAATTTAGAAAAGAATGACATGAGTCAAGGTGATAGAAAGTCATTCCTCATTTCTTGAAAGGGAAGAGGGTGACCTGGAATTGACTGAGTTAAGTCTCTGTCCTCAGGGTGGATGGGGGCTGCAAATGGAATTATCTTCTGGTGCAATTTTAGAAAATACAGATGCCTCAAACACGTGGTTTTCTAACTCTCATTCTCTTCCGCAAAGCTTAAACAGTTCAACAAATCTGAAATTAATTAGGCTATGGAGGCACAAATCACTACTTCACAACTTAATACCCCATATCCCATCAACTCAATAGTCGCCAGGGGTTGGGTCCCTGCGTTTCTCCACCGCTGTGTGTTCTGCTCTCTGTATTTGTCTGTGTCCTTCTGGTTCTCTCCTCTCCTTTGGCCATTTCTGTGTTTCCCTCTGTTTCTCCTCATCCTCCTGTTCCCCTCCCTCTCTATTCCTCCTCCTACAGTCTGTTGGCCCCACTCTGTTGCAACCTCTGTTTCAATCCCCGAGTTCTTTCTCCCTAAACTTTCAGGTGACCCTCTAACTCCATTGATTTCTGCCTCTTTCTCCCCATCTCTGTTCCCCTCTGCTCTCCCTGGAGGGGGGCAAAGGGCGTGTATCCGCCTCCTGAGTGAGGACTTGATCACGCGGTTGGGCGGGGGGAGTCAGACGTCACAGAAAGGTTTTGAGCAGGAAAACGACGCGGCGGTGGTCGGTGTCTACGCGGACCGAAGGCAGAAAGGTTGGGGCAGCATCTGCGTCAGAGCGATTTTAACGGGAAACAGACGCAGACTCCCGGACCGCACGGAGCTGCAGGACTCGGGACGTCTATAGCTACGGCGCCAGAGGTGAAAAGGACGAACTCACAGCCAGACGAACGAGCAGGTTCAGCAATTGTAACTTAGGAGGCGACCCCAAAACCCGGGTATGACGGGTGCGGGGCCTGAGGACCCGGAAGCGCAGATACGAACCAGAAACAAAGACTCACTCACTCGAGCGCGCCGCTTGCTCCGGGCGATCCACTTCCGTCTCCAGGAAACCGCGCCTGCGCGTGCATATCGGGGCGGGGCTGACCCGCCGGGTGGGGGCGGGGCCGAGATAGGGGCGGGGCCCATGGGCACGTGGTCTGATCCTCTGCTCAGTCCCTGCAGGTTTCCACATCTGTTTGTCCTCCTGCGAATAACCTCTAGTTGTCTGCTTGTGGCTTCCTTTTAATCTGTCTGCCTGCAGATTTAGACATGTGTGGGCTGCTGATGCTGCAAGCCAAGATATTTTCTCTTAGCAAATCGAAAATGGTTTCCCTGAAAGCTTGATAGACACGCGTGTCCTAGGAGTGAGGTGGGGGGAGCGCTGGGACCTGGGGGTGGGGTACAGGGGTTGTAGGCGGTTGGATCCTGGAACGTTTGAGACCCAGCACAGTTACAACAATTTATTTAATTAAG